AAGTCATTGCTGAATTACACTGAATACATTTATCCTTCTGACGGCCCCCGTGGCAGAGCTGCAGCGGGGAACGGTCATGGAGATTTGAAGGGTGTATACTAACATTAATATGAAACGTGAACGCTAGACGTGATACGTTTGTTTTTTAATATTATGAAGACACAGCATGGCAGACCTGGAGGAGGTAGAAAATGTTTCAGAAACGAGTAGGGGGTGTCGGGAAGCCAGCTGAATGTGCCACTTCAGAAGGGGTCCAGGCAGGTCCCCCAAAGAGAAAGCCGGTAGTAGTTTCGCGGACTACTGTTGCAGAAAAAGAATCTCAGGATGTGTCAGTGGGAAACATAGTGCAGATTTACTCAGCAGAGCTGGACACGGTGGTAAAGCACAGGTTCAGACGGGCACAGGAGGGTGAAGTCAGCTCCCAGGGCTCGCTGAGGTGGCCCCGGGCCCGCCGTCCTGATCTCAGCTCTGGTGTCCATAGCTCTGAAGAACTCCAGTGGCTTGAGGCAGAGTTTGAGTGTGAGTGTGTGAGTGTGTGAGTGTGTGTGTGTGTGTGTGTGTGTGTGTGTGTGTGTGTGTTAGGGGTGAGGTGACCTCAGCACACACAGCTCTGCTTCTCCTGGAATCAGAGGCAACTGTGCAGACTTCTGGGCAGCGCTCCGGAGGGGTCTGGAACTGACCACTGGCAAAGCCGGCAGCGGAGAAACTGAGCGTTACTTTAGTTCTTCTTACCTTGGTGTCTTCAGTCTTGAAGGAGATGGCATAAACTGCGTAAAGAAACCTTGTAATACAGACGCCCCCGAGTGATTAGCGTGTCTACGCAAGAGCCTGCAGGGGCCTGACCCAGGGTTGTAAGGTAGCAAGGGAGACGAAATGGGGTTTCCCTGCCGCCTTCTGCCTATCCTTTCTGCTTCGGTCCCGCCCTCCTGTGGTGCCGATGCTGCACTCTGACTTTAGAATATACTCGAGATGGGCAGCAGAGATGCTTCCCTGCCCTACTTACTGGAGAAGAAATCCTAAGGATCTAGAAAGGCTTTCTCTTTTTTTTATTTCTTCCTTTTTTCTTCCTCTTATTTTTTTTTTTTCCTTAGCAATCTTTTACTGATTGACTGGATCTTATTGTCCATTTTGTTTTGTTTGAGACAGGGTCTCCCTGTAGAGTCCAGGCTGGCTTTGAACTCATGATCCTCCTGCCTCAGCCTCCCAAGTGTTGAGATTCCAAGCATGCACCAGCATGTCCAGCATTTGATAGATGTTTTTTTTTCCTTAGCAACTGTAATGAGAAAACTTAGCTCAAAGGTCTTGAGGGTCTCAAGCATATGAATGAGGGGTGGTTGCTCCATGAGGGAAGGCAGCCCCAGAAAATCCGGAGCAAGGATAACAGCAAATTCATCTGAGGTGGTGATAAGGCTGGGCCCCTACTACTGGAAAATAAAATATTAAAATGCTCTCTTATAGCAAGAATTACTAAAAGATAATATGCCCTGCCAGCTAAGGGTAAACAAGAGCAGGGAGAGTTACTTCCACTTTCAACCCAGGGCCACTATGTTAATCTTCCGGAAGCCCAGCAAACAGAGTGTGGGTACAGTCAGCATTGGCAGACATCCTTCATCAAAATGTAGACAGCGACAACCTTGGGTGGCCAATAGACTGGAGCGATGAGAGCAGCTACTTCAACTAAGAAACATGAAACTAAAAGATTTTGTTCTTGTTTGCTTGTTATTTTGAGACGGGTTCTTGCTAAATTGCCCAGGCTGTCCTCAAACTTTCCATCCTCCTGCCTCAGCCTCCAGAGTAGCCGGAATTTACAGGGATGTGTCACCGTACTTGGCTTCAAAAAGATGAAAAGTATGCTTTTCTTATTCTGTGTGTGCTTTCCAGTAAGTCACGTTTATCAGACTAGCTTTTATTTAAAACCTAGATGATATTTATTTCCTACATCGCAAGTGTCTCTCCGTACACAGTAAACATAATTCTGCGCTTTGGCTAATTTAGTTAAGAATAATCCCAAGTCAGCATTCTTAATGACTACAGAGGACCAGACTGAAAGAAACAGACTAACGTGTTCCAGCAGCCTCGCTCTCTCTGCTGTGACAAGCAGGAAGTTTCCGAGCAATCCTCCGCCTCTCAGAAGCTTACGTCAAACTTTGTACTCACATCCTGTTGAATGCAGTCCTCAGTTTTTTCCTGATCTGCATACTCTGAATGAAACTGTTTGAGTAATCCGTCCTGAAACTGTTATGTATATCTAAGTGACAAATGGAATATCTCCGTGACTAATAATACTCACAGTTAAAGTTTTTTTTTTTTTTAGTATTAAGTGCCTTGTACTTAAAACTATTTATATCTCTACTCTGCATCCCGTATTCATTTGATCTCTCCAGTAGGTCCTTGTGAAGCATGGTCTGGTTCATTAATTACGCAGCTCGTACAGGAAAACAAGCAAATAAACCCTCCGCGGCACATCCTGACGCCTTGCTCTGGCGTGTGCTGTGCCATCCCCACGTGATGGAGGGGACTCTGCTGGTTCCAGGCCTTCAGGTGACTGGCTCTGTGGCTAAGTCCCTCAACCTGCAATTTTGTCCCCTGAAAACAGGAGGGACGGGCTGGATGACCTTTAGTACATCCCGTGTGTTTGTGCTTGGAGGAGCATCAGTCTTTGTCGTGGATACTGTCAAGTTCTTAAAGAAAGCAAAGACCAAATTCTAAGTGTAAGCCACAGTGTAAATGGGAGGGGGCATCTTCCTGGATGGATTGCTTAGGATTCTCTATGGTCACAAATAATCAAAATCCAAGTGGATCGGACTTAGGGAAGAAAGTGAATTTACTACAAAGGTTCAGAAGTGTCTCACAGAACCCAGGGACAGAAATTAAACTGGATGTAAGGAGCCAGAAAGACGAACGCTCAAGAGGACTCTCCTGGCTGGGCACGGTGACACCTGCACATAATCCCAGCGCTCTGGGATGCTGAGGCAGGAGGATCACAATTTGAAACCCAATCTGAGTAATTTAGTGACTTAATGAAATCCTGACGCAAAATAAAAATACAAAGAGGGCTGAGAGGTAGCTCACTGCAAAGGCCCTGGGTCCAACCCCCAGTACTGAAAAAGAAAAGAAAACAGAACAGAAGAGAAAAGAACAGAACCAAAAAGAAAAGACTCTCTCCCTCCCTTTGTACACCTGCTTCATTCTCTCCACCTTCTCTCGCTATCAGCCAGGTTCATCACACAAAGGATGCCCCTGAAATAAGATGCCCCTGAAATGCTTGAGTGTACAAATGATAGTCCAGACAAACAAGAGATACGCTCTTTTTTAGCACAAATGTGTGTTCCCAGGAAAAGGCTCCCTTGGCCCATGCTGGGACAGATGCCTAGGTGGGGACTGATCAGTTGTTATTCAGATGGGGGACAATTTAGATTGAATATGACCACTTACATCACAAGCTCAAGGAAGGGAAAGAGAGAAATTTCTAGAAAAGAGTCTAAGTAGAAAATTCGGAGGCTGAGG